CTGGCCTAAGTTGAAGGCAAAGTACCAGTTGCTCCCAGCGATTCCTATGGGAAGGCTTTATTTATTTAGTTTTTAACTTCTGACTGTGTAGCTTGAGCAAAGGTACAGCCTCCAAGATTTTAGGCTTTCATATACACACCCAAAAGAGCTACTTTTCTAGGGCTACTTTGTTAGTGAATGGGAAGATGAAAAAACTTTCAACTACCTGTCTAGGGAGATGACAAAGAAGCTGGTGTGGCTCTTCCTGGAATTAGGTAGGAACAAAACGGAGTCTGCTTTAAGAATTTGTAACAACCCATGGATTGGTGGGTTCATGGCTTAGGAGTTGAGAGTTTTATCCACCAAGTCCAGGAGTCCTACATTGTAAAGTTAGCAAAGTGGCTGGTGATATTTCAAGGTCACACATCAGAAGTAAATACATATTTCTTTTTTTCCCTCTTTTTTTTTTTTTTTTTTTTTTTTTTTTTTCCCGAGACAGGGTTTCGCTCTTGTTGCCCAGGCTGGAGTGCAATGGCACGATCGTGGCTAGCTTCAACCTCCGTCTCCAGGGTTCAAGCAATTCTTCTGCCTTGGCCTCCCGAATAGCTAAGATTACAAGCGCACGCCACCAAGCCTGGCTAATTTTGTATTTTTAGTAGAGACGGGGTTTCTCTATGTTGGTCAGGCTGGTCTGGAACTCCCAATCTCAGGTGATCTGACCGCCTTGGCCTCCCAAAGTGCTGGGATTACAGATGTGAGCCACTGCGCCTGGTCGTAAATACATATTTCTGAAAGAATTGTGTCCTGCGGATTTTCTTTTTCAGTACCCAGAATCTTCTCCGCATCCCCAGTATTTTAAATACGGAGGTAGATAGATGTATGTATGCATGCATATGCTAATTCTAGATCTGGCAACATTAATTAACATGCTGAAGAGTCAAACTACTGAGCAGTAATTTTCAGTACTTTTTTATACTCTTAATAGAAGCCAATAAAAGGATTGCAGCCTTTTACTTAATGTAATATAATTCAGATAACCATGGTGAAGTCTGTACATCATTGAGAGGTATAAAACACATGACTGTATTGGGGGCTACTTTATTCATAGTTTAGTTATTGAAGCTTTATTTTTGAAAGTTCTACTGTATGTGCAAGTAAAACAGATTTTCTCACTAAAATTAAACATTATTTTTAAGAACTATGTAAATGAAGGTAACTATGGCTTCCTTATGAGAACTACTTACATATTGAAATGATTTTTATTTTTATTTTTCCCATTTATTTATTTTATTGCATTTTAGGTTTTGGGGTACATGTGAAGAACATGCAAGATTGTTGCATAGGTACACACGTGGCAGTGTGATTTGCTGCCTTCCTCCCCATCACCTACATCTGGCGTCTCTCCCCTTGCTAGCTCTCCCCAGCTCCCCACCCCCCACCATCCCTCCCCTATTTCCTTTTCTGGTTACAAATGTAATTATAGGAAAAAAAACCTTATGGACATATACATAGAGCATAATGCATATAGATTTTGAACTGTTCTTTTTTCTTAATAGTGCATTTAAAATATTGTAGTATGTCCTGACTTTTAGGATCTTGCTTTTGAATAACTGTTATATAAAATTATTATTATTATTATTTTTAAGATGGGTTTTCACCATATTGGTCAGGCGGCTCTTGAACTCCCGACCTCAGGTGTTCCGCCTGCCTTGGCCTCCACAGTGCTTGGATTACAGGCGTGAGCCACCACGCATGGCCTATAAAATTATTTTAACCAAATTTCCCCTTTTCTCCAGACTTCTCTACTCCTAACTCCTTTCCTCCCTCATCGCTTCTCTGCTTTCTCCTCTTCTAGTTGCTCAGGGGAGAAAAATGAAGTACACTTTTCTGTTTTTTTTTTTTTGAGATGGAGTCTCGCTCTGTAGCTCAGGCTGGAGTTCAGTGGTGCAATTTTGGCTTACTGCAGCCTCTGCCTCCTGGGTACAAGCCATTCTTCTGCCTCAGCCTCTCAAGTAGCTGTGACTACAGGCATGCACCATCACCTCTGGCTAATTTTTGTATTTTTAGTAGAGATGAGGTTTCACCATGTTGGCCAGGCTGGTCTTGTACTCCTGACCTCAAGTGATCCCCCCACCTCAGCCTCCCAAAGTGCTGGGATTACAGGTGTGAGCCCCCGAACCTGGCCTGAAGTATACTTTTAGTATGTGATTGAATCTGCAAAGGGAAATAAAAGTTAGAATAAATGAGGTTTTGCAGGTTTGGCTGTACCTGCTACTTAGATGCTAGTTTGCTCACTGACGATGAAACCACATCTTTGGTTATATATTTTTCTATCAGATCTCAAAATGTTCCCACTTTTAGAAATTTGCCACACTGTATTGGAGTAAATTTTTCTGAGATATAAAGGGAAATTATAGACTACATAAAGTTATGTCATGTTCTCCATAAGCACCATGTGAGTATTTAAATGTAAAGTAAATAAAATTAAATAAAATTAAAAATTCAGTTTCTCAAGTCAACCCACATTCGAGTGCTCAAAAGCCACATGTGGCCAGTGGCTAACCATATTGGACAAGCAGCTATAAAACATTTTCACCATCACAGGCAGTTCTGTTGGATAGTCTTGGGGTGAAGTCTATATGTGTTGCCTATTTATTAAATTTAGAAATTATTTTTTCCTTTTGGTTATCATAAATACTAATAAAAAGCAGAATTTCTGTATATTTTTGGGAACAGTGAACAGCTCAAAATTATTTAGAGTAAATTTTTACTTTCCTACCAACTTAATTTTTAAATTGATTCAGTGAAGTAAAATACATATTAACACAGGGTAACCAGCCTTTTGAAATTCTGGGAGAACATTTAAAAAATATTTGATGTGGTACAAAGTCCAGGAGTGGGCAGGCTAGGGGTGAAGTATTCATCAATTGGGTCAGGATCTAGAGAAGATGATGGAAGAGAACTGACTGTAAAATGCACGCAGAAGAAGCAATGAAATGGAGAAATAACGTCTTTATTTGGGGCATGTGATTTTAGGTTATAATTAGAGTATTCACAGAAATTAACCCGGGAAAATTGGAAGCCATCAGAAAGAAAACATAAGGGATGGGGAGGAGCCACCAATGATCCTCTAGTCAATGAAAACAATCACTGCAACTTGTTATGTACCTATCCAGCCTTCCTTTCTATGCCCTACAAACAGGCCATACTCACTAGACAGCCAAGGATGGCAGTGAAGAACACAGATGCGATGTTAGTCTGAGAGTGATTAGGAACTCTAACACAGAGCCAGATGGCTTGAGCTTGAAATCTCGGCTCTGCCTTTTACTGTCTGCAAGAACATACCAACTTGTTTAACTCCTGTTTATCTGTAAAATGAGATGGTCATGCTATCTACCTCTTTATGTTCTTGTGAGAATTGAGGAATTAAAATATTCATTAAAGACTATGTTACTCCTGTTACTGTCAGCTATAAGGTGGGTAGTACAGGCCCACAGTAAGTTCTTAATAAATCTCTATGTTTATTATAGCAGGGAAAAGACATTTAAACAAGTAATTGCAGTGAGGTTAGATGAGTTTTGTGATAGGGTAAGCTCAGCAGTGAATTAGATGAGTTTTGTGATGGGGGAAGTTAAGTATTCCATGATAGTATATATTGAGGTGACTTAATTCTTGATAATTATTTAAACAGTGAATTTAGCTCTTAGTATGATTGTTTTCTTGTTTGAAATTATACTTTCATAGTTTATCAAATTAAATCTAACTCTTTTTATAGCTTGCAGTCTTTAAAGTTTGTTTATAACGTTGATATGATACATCTTTAAAGGTTCCAAGATATCCAGTAAAAATATGGCTCTGATAATTCTGGTAATATCATAAGTGTCAAGATTCTTTCCCTGAAGCTTTACATTGTGTACCAGGTTGCCAAAAAGGTAATAGAATCCCCTCTTAGCAATAGCATCTGGCTAATCAGCATAAATTTGTCTTCCAGACTTTTACAATTGAGTTTGGTTAGCTTTGAGCATAATTAAAGAGTGTGTTACTTGATACCTATTAAAGACAGGAAATTGTGAGGTGCAACTGTTTTTCATATGTAATGGGGGACATTTTTCTTCAACTATAAATAAGAAGAGACTAAAGTAAGTTTTCAAGTGTGAAATGTTCAGGACACCTGTACAAGAGCTGAAATAGATGTCACTTAAGTGCTGATAGTTATGTGTTTGTCAACATGTCTTTTGTTTCTTAACTTTCTGCTAGATTTTATGAGGAACTCAGTTTGTCTTATATGGCATTTATGTAGATCCTTGCTTTTGTGTTTCTTTGGTCACAATAATGGGAAATGAAGGACCGTTTTTTTTTATTACTATAATTATTTTGCAATATGAAAAATGATCTCATTTATGCTAAATAATTAAAAGAAATGTCAGTAGTTATGAGAAATCTCTTCATTTCTTAGAAATTTGAATTTGAGGGGGAAAGTTGGCAATTTCTAAAAAAGAATGAATAAGTTTAATAAAAGGAACAGTGTGCTTAGGCAGATGTTCCTGGATGTGGCACCCAGGCACAAATAGTGCCAGCTTCCTCCCTCTTGACAGCGATTCCATGCCAAACTGCCAAACTGTGGCTGGCAGTTTATTGCTTTGCTTTAATTATAATTTATGTTTTTGGCAGGAATATAAACTGCAACTGATACTTGAAATATTGCAACACTAGATTTTAGGTATGATAGACGTCACAAAACTTACATGTTTATTGAGGGGAAAGACAGATTCTTAGTTTTCACTTAGATTCTGTTTGATAAAGACTGTTTTTTCCGTCTGACTCCATGTTGTAAACACTGGACCATAGTAATAGATGAATTAGGCACACATACATGTCACCTATGGGTTTATATGAGCATATACAAACATATAACTGTAGAATATTCAAGGATTCAGATTCTCTTTTCAATTATAAAAATGTGCAACTGTCTGAGATTGTTTGCTAGCAGGTGAACTTACATGCATTTGATTTTCTTCCAGATTCATGAAAAACTACACTATTATGAGAAGCAGAGTCCAGTGCCCATCCTCCATGGTGCGGCAGCCTTGGCCGATGACGTAAGTGTGCCTGTCCGAGCTCACCAGGACGTGTCTGCCACAGACCTGGCCCAGGCAGAACCTGTCCTAGTGCAGACGGATGCATGTGACCCTATGAGGGAAAAGCAGAAGAGGTTGCAAATATTTCCAGAAGTCCTGTCATCACTGAGCTTATGTTAATATTATGTTGATTTCCATTTACTTTCCTGTTCTAAAAATTTTATATGTAGCTACGCTCTTGTTCTGCTTTCGTAACTACGTAATAGAAATTTTAGGCTTTAAACTCATGTAGAGAGAGAAGCTGTCAGCTGCTGGTGTTCTGAGAAAGTCACAGACGAGGAATGCTTTGGAGAAATAAAGACAAATGAGATCGCTATATTGCTGACAGTACTAAAAAATGACAGATACTAAGATATGAACGAGGCATATGAAATATATAAAAAGACAGGATTGTTTTTAAAATGGATTATAAAACATAGTAATGATTTATGGATATTAGACTTTTCCAAATTACCTTCATAACCAAAAAATAAATTTTAGAAGCAGTTGGCATTGATGGAGTAGTTAATTTCCTGTAGCTATAATTTTATTTTAAACTTGGGGGAAGGGAACTAACTCACTGATTCTTTCTGTTAACTTTCGGACTCGGATGAATTGGAACACACCTGGATAAACTATAAAGGACACGAAGCTGGAAGAGAAATATGTTTAGCCCAAAAGGCTGGTTTTAGTGATATCCCATAGCTTATTTGTTGCTTTTACTATTTTTTCCTTTATTTTTGATAAAATAATCTATAATTCAATGTGGTAAAATATCTGGGCCGTAATATAATTAAAAAATTGGCCATTTTTAGAAGTTGATTTTATTTGACCTACTTTGCATTCTAATTTAGAAAATATGCATATGTATAAATATCCAAGCTACATGCTATTTGTTTAGTTCCCAAACATTTTCCTTTCTATTTTTATCTACAAAGATTACAAGTGTGTTCAATATATATTTAATCAGGAAGCTTACTTCTGCATTATTGAACCAAATATTTTTAAATGAAGGTGAATAAAGATGTAGATATGGTTGTTTAAATAAGGCACAGTTGCCCCCCCAAGAAAGCCTTAAAAACCAGTTTTAAAACATTTACTATTCAGAGTTTTGGGAAACATTTGCTTATAAACCAATGTTGTTGTGGCCCAATCATATTGCAATAATATTGCTTTATAAAAAATTAGAGACTGCCATATGTAAATATGATAAACCATAGTATCTTATAATTTGTCAGAGCAGTATATTTAAATGTTAAAATATATTATGTTTTAAGTTATTAAAATGTGCAAATGACCTTTATGTCTTTTTGTAAGTTAAAAATTCTGTAGAACTATTACCTCAGAAAAGTAAAAGCAATTTTTGAAAGGTAATTAATGACTGTATAATTTTCCATGATTTTATTTTTTGTGTATAATTTATATTATGTCCTTCCTTTTTTTTTTTTTTTTTTTGAGACAGAGTTTCGCTCTTGTTACCCAGGGTGGATTGCAATGGCACGATCTCGGCTCACCGCAACCTCCGCCTCCTGGGTTCAGGCAATTCTCCTGCCTCAGCCTCCTGAGTAGCTGGGATTGCAGGCATGCCCCCTTTTGTATTTTTAGTAGAGACGGGGTTTCACCGTGCTGACCAGGATGGTCTCGATCTCTTGACCTCGTGATCCACCCGCCTCGGCCTCCCACAGTGCTGGGATTACAGGCTTGAGCCACCGTGCCCGGCCTATTATGTCCTTCTTTTAGAGAAAAGTCCTTTTCCAGAGATAAGAACAATTATTCTTAAGCTTGGTAGAAAAAGGAGGAGCAAATGGAAATCTCATGCAAGGTTTTAAGAAGGGTTTTTAAATAAATATGCATTTATATATACCACATATTTCATAATTCTAATCTTTTTTTCCTGTTTGAGTCTTGTTTTTCTTCTTATGAAAATTATGTGCTTTTTCCTATACCCTAAAATTGAATTGGAATTTGATAAGACTATCTCTTATGGAAGACATGAGGCAGGTTCGAAGTTCTAACACTTCCTTTATGTAGCACCCAAATGGGAATTCTTGGTTATTATAGTAGGGAACAGTAAGCATTTTTGGTACCAGGGTAGCTGTTAACCCATTATAGCTCATTTTACAATTGGTATTATGATTGGTTGGTATTTAACAGATTTCTTCATATGTATGGGTAAACATAATAAAAGTTTCAGGCCATTTGCTCTATTAGGGGCATTCTAATTATTTTAACCCTAGCTCTAAACAGCACAGCTACTATGGGTTTTTGGAGTCCCTGTGGGTTTTTGGAAACCCCATGGATTTCACCACCTCATTCAGAAGCTCTGTTTTTGTGGAGGATGGGAGAGGTCACAGTGTCAAAGCTTTATCCAGTTCTTACAAGTGGTCCTTTGTCTAGGTGCAAAAGACCATTCACTTAGATGAAGTGCTGGGGTTTGCTCTCCTTGCAATAAATCAGAAGGTGATCTGGCTGATATGATTACTTGATTTGTTCTCAGCCAAGAGCCTGGGCTAGGATCTGGACTACCGAAGGCCTAAGAAGAAGAGCAATGATTGATGATCTGTTTTCTTTTATGCTGACCTCTCCTTAAACATTGGAAAGTAATAGCTTTGAGGAGACAGACTTTCAGTTGTCACACACCCAACCTCACCATGCTCTTACTAAATGTTCTTTACGTCAATGTAATCTCCCTTGCAGCTGGCCGAAGAGCTTCAGAACAAGCCATTAAACAGTGAGATCAGAGAGCTGTTGAAGCTACTGTCAAAACCCAATGTGAAGGTGAGGACATGTTACACTGGTAATAAATACCTTCAAACAGGGCCACTTTCTGAGCCTTCAGATGAATTTTGTTTCGAGCATCAATTCTCAATTAAATGTGTTTCAAATAGGGCACAGTATTTTAATAGCCTAAATCCTATTAATGAGAAAGAGGTGAGCTTTTGATTATAATGTGATGAGAAATTGCAAAATACGCTAATTTGGAAGCTCAGAATTTAAGTTCTGACAGATATAATGTAGCTTCAAGGTCATTTTCCTTTTAAATAAAGTTAAGAGCACACTATACAGAACCTACTAGTAATTTTGTTTAGGTCCATTTTACTTGAGTAGCTAACAGAATTCCAATATGTTTGACAAATACACCTATTTTTCGGTAGGATCATTTCAGCATTCCTCTTTCTTTGCCCTTTCCCCTCCCCATTTCCTGTCCTTTTACTAATTTACGTTTCAAAATATAATTCCATTTTACAGAGAAGAGCACTTTTCCAGTGTAAAATACCCATAAAATATTGGCAGACAGATTTCAATTCTCCCTTTCCCATTGCCTCGTAAGTTTATCACTTATTTTTCCTCCAAATGTGATCAGTCTACAGCTGGCATTTCAGAATTTTTCTGCAGTTATTCTGAGGTTATTAGTGTACTAAATCCTGCATTGTATACATTTTGGACTTGACACTGTGGCAATTATGTGTCAGATATTGTTCTATGAGTCAGAATTACATATAGATTACATAATTAAAATGATCATTTAGCTTGTGATGATTACTGGTGAGTGTATGTAAAGTGTTGAATGAAAATTTCTGCCAAGATACAAAAGCTGGTTTCTACCTTTTTTGAGAAATAGCTTTTTGAATTGTGCTGTAGTTGGTCTTAAATGTATTTTTATAAAAAGAGAGATGGTATTAAATAAAAGATGAGGTTAAAAACATGCATGGACTATAAAACCTAATCCCTATGAGTAAATATAAGTACATGAATGTATTGCTGTAAAGGCTAAACAGGCTATGATTAATGATGTGAGGGTAATTGATTTGTAGTGGTTCAGTAAATTCATTAAATTTTTGTTCTAAAAGAACAAGGATCAGGTTAGAGCAGAAAAGTTCCTTGATGTTAAAGACAAAGTGTGTAAAAACATTAAGAGAAGGAGATTTTTAGCGAGAGAATGTTCTGAAGATTTCTTCATTTGGCCTTAGACTGTACCTGAAAAGTTAGTATCACCCAGGGGAGGGTGAGGTTAGCTATGAGAAGTTCGTTAAACTCTTTTTTGAGATTATCGTGTTGGTTCAAGGGTATTAGAAATGAAAGCAGCGTGTTTTAGATGAAAAACAAAATCCCTGATTATGGTATTTGGTTCAAGAGTGTTTCAAATGGAATAGCTAATTATGCAATAATATACTGGATGAGAACTGGTATTTGGCTCAAGAGGGAGGTATGCCTTTAGACAGTATTATGAAGGGCCATTTGATAAAATTTTATAATAATTAGTTACATTTTATTATGTGAAAAATATTTTAGGTGGATAATTTATTTTTCATATGTATCTAGCGGTGTGACTAAAGAATGGTGTAAAGTTAGCACGAAAGACATATATTTAATAAATATGTGTAGAAAATAGATAATATTCCAGGATACATGTTCTTTCATTTGACAATGTCAGTTTGTAGCTAAGTAGTCTTGGGAATAAAGTATCTTTTTTCCCTTTTGGATCTAACATTTAACATTGCTTTTTTGAAGTCATTCATATTATCTACCATCACTTTGACCTCATTTCCATATTACTTTAAGAAGTTAAGCCCCCAAATAAATTTTAGACTATTTCAGGATATAATCAGTTAATCTATTTTTGTCCTGGGAGTAAACTAAAATCTTCGTTTGTTTCCCTTTTAAGCAGAAGCAAGGTATATGGATTGTTAGTTGAACTGATAGTTAAAATATGAAAAATGTAACTCTAGTGTGTTAATTTGAATATTTAATTTCTGGTGGATTAGGGAAGTTATTTACTTTTTAAAGATTTGCTATTTCATTTTCAATGCTTTATTCATTTTACTCAAAAGAAAGTTGATGTATATCTTCAAAGCAATAGAACTTTAAAAAAAAAACACAACAGATACACAGACACACAGACATGCACAGACGCAAACACCCAAATATGCACCCACTCTGGGAAGATATGTGGATAATACCCATATTCCACTCATCTGCCAATTCTTTCTGAAAAATTTTATAACTTTCTTTGGCAGTTTATAAAAGTCACCAGAGACAGATCTTCATCCATTCATTTATTCTTAGATTTTTTTTCTTTTAATGTCTAGTGTGTGCCAGGCTCTATGGATGCAGAATATAGAAGATTACACACACACACACACCCACACCCACACACCCACACACACAGTAGTGAAGGTGATAGGAGAAATACTAGATTTAAAAGAGGGAGCACATGGATATGATGTGGAATGAATAGGAATGGTGCTAAACCCAGACTTGGGCAAGGGGAGAATATTGAAGAAACCTTTACAGAGGAAACGGCATGTAAGTTGAGACTTCACGGTGGAGTTGGAGGAAACCAGAAGGGGACAAAGGAGTGGGAGATGGGTTGGGGGTGGGATGTGAAAAAGAAATTATTTACTTACAGGGAAGAGCATGTAAATTCCCATAAAGGAAAACTTTAAGTTTGAAGATGTAAAAATGCAAAACCAGCCACAGAACGGGCAAACAGTGGCTTGCCAAGGAGGAAGGGGTGAAAGTTTGGAGCTGGGAAATCAAGCCTTTTGAGTTGGGTTTGCCCAGGGCAGCATGGTTCATGCTTGCAGTTCCAGCATTATTAGTAATAGCCTTTCTCCCACTTTCAACTGTTTCCCTATTTGGGTGATAAATTATATGGCCACACCTGAAATTGTGAAGCCATTGAAAAGGATTTGAACCAGGAAGTGATACATCACTCCATATGTAGTCTACGGAACAGGATTTTGAGGCATTGGGTGGTGTAGAATGGGAAGAATGCAATACTGAATAAAGGAAGTCACTTTGTAAAACGTGACTTTTTATAAAGTCAGTGTGAGCCTCTAGAAACAATTCTAGAAGCTCACGCTGACTTTGTAAAAAGTCACACTGGAAGGCCAGTGTGAGCCTCTAGAAACAATTCAGATAGAACACTAGCATTTTGGGAGGCCGAGGCAGGCTGATCACTTGAGGTCAGGAGTTCGAGACCAGACTGGCCAAGATGGTGAAACCCCTTCTCTACTAAAGATACAAAAATTAGCCTGGCATGCTGGTAGGCACCTGTAATCCCAGCTACTAGGGAGGCTGAGGCAGGAGAATCACTTGAACCTAGGAGATGGAGGTTGCTAAGCTGAGATCCTGGGTGAAAAAAAAAAAAAGAACATGATTGAGGTCCTAAGGAAAGAGTGTGGGATGGGTGAGAGGAAGCATGGGAGATGGGCAGCTTGAGGGACAACTTCAGTACATGGTCTTGGAATAACTAACAGTTTGGGAAAAAAATAAGAAAATTCGCCACTAGAGTGAACTCCAAATAGATTAAAAATTTAAGTGTAAAAAGTTGAGCCATAAGAATATTCTTAATTGAAAAAATATATATTAGAAGAAAATTTTAAAGTTACATGATAATGGAATAGAAAAGCATTTGAACCAAAAAAACAGGAATACACACATACAAACACAAACATGCACCCATAAAGGAAAGAATATTTTACAATTCATAAGTGAGATTAGAAGGAAAATCACTTATTAATATATATGATTTATGATATTTGTCCTTAATAAGATGTGACAATTTATTACATTCACTTTATTTTACTTTTTACAAATTGACTTGATAAAGACTTAAAAGGAAACAGAGATAATCTTTTTTGATAATACATAATTGTATTTTTCCTTCAAAGAATATAGAAGCCCCTATTCTCATTGCTTTATTAGTGAGGATGAATATCTTTTCTATGCCTGTGTGTTTTTATTTCTTCTGTGAATTATATGTTCATATACCTCTAGGGATAACTGCTATTGGCTGGCTGCATTACCTTTCAACGTTTTCTGTATATATAAATATTAAACGTGATTTTTTCCCCCAGTATATTCTATGGGATCATAGAATGCATTACTTACTGTGATTTTTTTTTTTTTTTTTTTTTTGCTTTTAATATTTTTGGGATTTTGTAGCCTTCTCTTTGTGTCGACAAAATTATCTATTTAACTTAATCCTTGCAGATGAATCTTTGTTATTTCTGTTTTTCTGCTATGTAAATAACACTATGATACACATTTTTGGTATATTAGAGAATTTTATGGAATATTTTGTCAAAATATATTTTAATGAGGACAGTACATTATTGGGGCGTACATCACATTTGGACATTTTACAGTTTTGATCATTATTGCGTTTGTTGTTAAGACAGATCTTCTCGAGCACCTACAGTATAGTGCATGAGAAGGCCTGTTTCCCTATGCTGTTGCAATTTATATGCAATTAATTGCATAAGCTCTTTTCAACTAATACTCTTTTTTTTTTTTTTTTTTTTTTTGAGACAGAGTCTTGCTCTGTCACCCAGGTTGGAGTTCAGTGGCACAATCTCAGCTCACTATAACGTCCGCCTCCTGGGTTCAAGCAATTTTCCTGACTCAACCTCCCAACTAGCTAGGACTACAGGTGTGTGCCACCACACCTGGCTAATTTTTGTATTTTTTGTAGAGTCAGGGTTTTCCCATGTTTGTATTTTTTGTAGAGTCGGGGTTTTGCCACGTCAAACTCCTGGCCTCAAGTGATCCACTCTCCTCGTCTTCCCAAATTGCTTGGATTACAGGTATAAGCCACCGTGCACAGCCTCAACTAATATTCTCTTCTAGCTTTGCTATTTGATCACCATTAGAATATAAGCTACATGAGAGTAGTGAATAAAAAGTGCAGATGTATATAGCAAGCTTTCAGTGAGTACTGTATGATTAAATAATGGGTAGTAAAAATTTTGTTTTTCCTAATGCATTGTGAG